CCCCCGCCGCGAGCGTACACGCACCCTCGATTGCTGCAAGAGGTTGACAGTGGCCTGCATGGCGAAGGCCTTCTGCTGCCCCCTCGACATCTTCGCATAGCTGTCCATGACGGACTGCTCGGCGGCGCCGCCTTGCTCGAGCCGCCGCCGCTCCTTCGCCCTCTTCGCCCAGGGAGACCGGCGGAAGCACCAGGAGACCGTGGCGGCGACGACGAACAACCCCAGCACGAAGAAGACTCCGGAGACGTCCTGTTATGTTGCGTTTCGTTTTTTCCGTTACACCGTCCGTGTGATTTTTTTTTGCGAGGTGGTGGGTGCGAACACGGCAAGAGAGAGAGAGAGAGAGAGAGAGAGAGAGAGAGNACACCGAGAGAGAGAGAGAGAGAGAGAGAGAGAGAGAGAGAGAGCGACACATATACAGATGGAGAGACAGACAAAGAAAGACAGAAGCGGAGAGAGGGAGAGATATAAACAGACAGAGAGAGGCAGATAGAGACACAGAGAGAGAGAGACAGACAGACAGACAAGACAGACAGACAAAGACAGACAGAGACAAATAGACAACAGATAGAAGGACAGGCCGACAGAGGGATAAACAAGAGAACAAAACAAGAAAGCGGCAGCAGGAGCGGCTGCGGCGGCGGTAGCGGACAAGATGAAAATAAGCCATGACAACAGGTGGCGTGTCAAGCGTGCTGTATGCTTTCAAATTACATGGCTGTCTCGTTGGCGTGTGTGTGGTTTCGGATCGCCACAATGTTGAATCGACCAAATAAGCATGCTCCAAAACAATAATGCAACCAGGTTCATGACAATGTTCCTATGAAATACGCTTGAAAAGAAAGCTGTTGCAGCAACAAACAAGAGAACGATTTTGGTTGGTACCGCGACGACGGTCACGCAGGCGGAGGTTTTACCTACCCAAGCCGCTCTCGCTCCTCCCTGAACCATTCACCCATGACCGCCTGATTGCCGTTGGTTCGCTTCACCCAACAGCACGTGCAGTAATCACATTTCGCTCCAAAACTTCTACACTTGCATTCCATGTTATCCGTACGGGCAAACAAGAGCACACAAACGTGCGGCAGTAGGATAGTGTAGCACGATCCCCTCGGACGCTGGTTAACCTGCAGACTGTAGGAACACGGCTACCAGAAAAACACGCACATACAATTATCGTCTTCTGCCAAGAGGAGAAAGCGTTGTATTTCATAGTGTAGAACGATCCTTTGGGACGCTGGTACACCTGCAGATACCATGCGAGACGTACATGTGGCGGACAGGCAGCAATCACAGATCTTCGCGGGAGTTCCACGAGGTAATTCTACCGCTCGCATTTCGAGAGGGTATTATACACGTATGTGAACACCCCCTTGAAATTCGAGCGGTAGAATGGCCTCGTGGTACTCCAGCGAAGAACTGTGATTGCTGCCTGAATGCCACAGCTACTGTAGGAACACAACACCAAAAAACAAGCAACGCGAACCTGACAACAAGAGAAAGACGTTGCCGTTTCATACCGAGACTGTCATGTTCGACGAGCATATCTTACCAAGACTGTCATGCCCGACGAGAATATCTTACCGAGTTTGTCATGTTGGACGAGCATTTCTTACCGAGATTGTCATGTTGGACGACTCTTCCTCGCTGGTGGTGACGGGGACGCACACGACGGAGGGGTCGAGGTAGGATTCCTCGATGTCGATCAGAGTGCCGTCCTCCCTCAGCTGCAGCGTCGCCTGCGTTTATGTCGTTGTTTCGGCGTGTTTGGAACCGCGCCCAAAGTGCGTTTAGTCATCCAAAAAACCAGGCACACACGAGCGAATTATGATTCTCTACCACCGCCGCCTTTTCGCAGGCAGAAAAATCGAGCGTTTCTCGTCAACAAAACCAAACCAAATGCATGGTTCACGCAGAACATGATGCTGACTCCGTGGATCGGCCCAAAAGTTGATTGTGTTTATCCTTCGTTGTTTCTTGTTTGGTGGACACTAACAACACGCCCCGAATTCGTGCCATACCACGCAGTAAGACAGCCGGCACGCTTTGCGAAACATCCGCGAATAGCGGCATAAACACAACGGCGTTCTCGCAGGGCATACACCCGAATGAACACACTCGTTGCTCGTCTTTCTACTCTTATCGCCCTTTCAATGCAGGAACGGGACACTGAAGTAGTGACTGCAACACGTACAACAAAAAAAGGGCGTAGATTTTACACGGTGTGCTGCTGCTGGCTTCGCGAAAGTTAGCCTCTCACCGCTTGCAGCTCTTCTGTCAACCCCGACCCGTAAGGAAGTACCAGGCCGTAGTGCTGGAGCGGCGTAGGGCAAGGGGGGGGACGGGGGTAGGAGGGATTTGTTGGGGGGGCGAGGGCACAGCCAACGCATTAGGAAGGAGGGGAAGAGCGAATGGGGAAAATCACCGCGCAGGGAAGGACGGAACGGAGCAGACGGGAGGGGGTACAGGGCGGGAAAAAAAGCCACCCGGTCCTCACTACTAAGGAGTCATCTGATAAGATGCTATGTACATCTAAGATGCTGCTTGTACATACGATGCTAAACATGACCCTACTGTACGTGCTCTGCACATGCTACATACGATGCTAAGCATGCCGGTACTATACGGTCTCTGCACACCTGAGGGTACAACACCTCCGCGAGGGTGGTAAGGCCGCAGAAGTCGTTCTGCAGCTGGTAGTCCGCCGTCGCCGAGTCCGCCAGCGTCGTCAAAGCCGACCCGTTCAGGACCTAACATCAACCAACCAACAGCAGACGCCGATGACGATACTCAGGACAGAGGCAACAAGCGCTTATCGCCGACCATCAACAAAATAAACAGGACAGACAGCGTGAGGGTTGCCTTAACACCATTTCTACCGCCGCCGCCGACACGTTGCGAGGCAAACGCGTACTGATAGCACTCCACAGCGGCACGATACACGCGGTGAAAGCGTTGACTGGTACGCCAGACAAAAAGGCAGAAATAAGGTCTGCCGCTCTCCCCAGGACGAAAGCAAGACTAACCTACACAGGCTTTCTTCTGAGCTGAGCGGACTGGATCAACAAAGCTTACTAGCTCGCCGAGGACACTACCCACCATTGTAAAGCACTCGACGGTCGAGTAGCACGGCTGGGGTTGGATGCCAACTGAAAGATGGCAGGTTGTGTGTTCCGCAGACCAAAGATTGAGGCAAGCGACAGCAGCAGCAGTGACGGTGATATGGGGGCCAGGGGCAAAGAGGGGGGGGGGGGGG